TGGCTAATGCTTCAACCCGGGGCCTGCGCCAGGCAGCCAGGCTGAGACGTGGCTCTCCACGCACTAGCGGTGTGGCTGGCAGTGAGTTACTTTACCTCTCAGCAGTAACCCAAGTCTGTGCTTGAGTTGCTGTTGGTTTCATTTGTAAAATGAGGCTATTAATAACACCCCATGTAGCTGTGAGGAACACGTGAGCTGATTCAGTTATGGCCTCTTTATTATTATTATTATTTCTTTTTTAAGAGAGAGGGGAACGACGGAGAAATAGAGGGAAACATCGATACGAGAGAGAAACATCAATTGCTGCCTTCCGTATGTGCCCCAACGGGGGACCGAACCTGCAATCCTTGCATGTGCCCAGCTGGGAACTGAACTGGTGACATTTTGGTTTGCTGGATGAGGCCCAAACAAGCCACAGTGGCTGGGGCCGATTATAGCCTCTTTAATACATTTGTGGGACTAGCTCTGGAGGTTGCTAGAGTCACCGCTTCCTTTCTGGAGAAGGCCAACAACAAATGTATGAGGAACACACACACACATACAAAAGAGTGTCCTCATGGAGGCCAGGTGGTCAGGGAAGGCCTCGCTGGCCTCATGGGGTGTGGAAGGTGGCCAGAGGGAGACCATGAAACCCAAAGAGCCTAGAGACACGAGACCCTAGGAAAGGAAAGACCTAGACCAGAAAGACTGAGAGACCAAGAGATCCAGAGACCCAGAGTGAGCAAGAGATTCAGAGATGCTTATAGGGACCCAGAGCCTGAGAGAGATCCAGAGAGACCCCCATGGACACTGAGTAACATAGAGAGGCCCAGAGATACTGAGAGACCCAGAGACACCAAGAGTCTCTGAGACACAGAGAGACCAAGAGACCTAAAGATATCCAGACCCTCAGAGAGACTGGGAGTTCAGAGATACCCAGAGAGATCAAGAGACTGAGAGACCCAGAGACTGAGAGAGACTGAGGAACACTGAGAGACACAGAGAGCGGGGGCGGCCCCTCGGAGTGAAAATCCATATTGGCCACCAGGGCTGAAGCCTGAGACCAGAGCAAAGCAGCCGTGGGTGCTGATGGCCCACCAGGGAAGAGCAGCTGGATCACGGGAAGGGGTCTGTCTGCATCTGGGTCCAGAGCACACCTGGCCCTGGGCCCACCACCCACCTGGGATAGCCCACATCCCCTTCATCTTCATTCAAACGTCAGGAGGCTGGGTTCTTGAGCTTCAGCTTCCCGTCTCAAAATGCAGATGAGACCACAAAACCTACTTCGCGGTGCCAGCCCCACGTCGAGCTAGTTGGACACGTGACCGAGCCCACTTCTGCTGTCGGCAGCGGCAGGATTTTTCTGTTGTTTTGGTTGTGCTTTTTTTAATTCCCGTTTATTTGGGTGATGTTGGTAAAAAAAAAAATGGACTGCCTCACGAATTTGCGTGACTTCCTTGCGCGGGGCCATGAGATTCTTCTCTGCATCGTTCTCATTTCAGTCTGTGTGCTGCCCAATCGAGCACAGCGGCAAGGCTTCCACAAAGCCCAAGCTAGCCAGCTCCTCCAGGGGTCTCCATGTCTATGCAATACAGGTTTTTAGGAAAGATTTTATTTATTTTAATTTTTAATTGTATTTTTTCCTTCATGGTAATAACTTTATTTATTTATTTAAAATTGTTGTTCAAGTACAGTTTTCTGTCTTTTACTCCCACCCCAGCCCACCCCCCCAGCCCTCCTCACCTCCCTCCCATTTCTAGCCCCTCCAGTTTTTGTCCATGTGTCCTTTATACTTGTTCCTGTAAACCCTTCCTCTTTTCCCCTGAAATTCCCTCCCCTCTCCCCTCTAGTCAGTCAGCCTGTTCTCTATTTCTGTGTCTTTGACTATATTTTGCTTTTTCTTTGTTTTGTTTAGGTTCCTGTTAAAGGTGATATCATGTGGTATTTGTCTGTCGCTGCCTGGCTTGTTTCGCTTAGCATAATGCTTTCCAGCTCCATCCAAGCTGTTGCAAAGGGTAGGAGCTCCTTCTTTCTTTCTGCTGCATAGAATTCCATTGTGTAAATGTACCATAGTTTTTTGATCCATTCATTTACTGATGGGCACCTAGGTTGCTTCCAGCACCTAGCTATTGTAAATTGTGCTGCTATGAACATCGGGGTGCAAGGGTTCTTTTGTATTGGTGTTTTAGTGTTCTTAGGATAGAGTCCCAGCAGAGGAATCGCAGGGTCAAAAGGCAGACCCATTTTTAGTTTTCTGAGGAAGCTCCATACTGCTTTCCATAGTGGTTGTACCAGTCTACAGTCCCACCAACAGTGCACTAGGGATCCCTTTTCTCCACAACCTCTCCAACACTTGTTGTTTGTTGCTTTGTTTATGATGGCCATTCTGACTGGTGTGAAGTGGTATCTCATTGTGGTTTTAATTTGCATCTCTCTGATGGCTCGTGATGCTGAGCATCTTTTCCTGTGTCTCTGGATCCTCTGTATGTCCTCCTTGGAGAAGTGTCTGTTCAAGTCCTTTGCCCATTTTTAAATTGGATTGCTTGTCTTCTTAGCGTGGAATCGTGTAAGTTCTTTATATAGATTTTATTTATTTTTAGAGACAGGGGAAGGGGGAGAAAGAGAAACATCGATGTGCAAGAGAAGTGAGAGAATCAACTGACTGCCCCTTGCATGCAACCTGTCTGGGGACCTGGCCCACCCCCAGGCTTGTGCCCTGACCCGGATTGAACTGGCGGCCTTTTGCTGCACAGGACGGCACCCAACCCCACTGAGCCACACAGATCAGAGGCAATTATATCTATATTTGAAGTTACCTGTTACCACCTCACACTTGTTAACATGGTTACTATGGACACAACAGAAAATAACAAGTGTTGGCCAAGAACGTGGAGAAATGAGAACCCTGCGCAGTTTGTGGGAATGTAAAATGATGCAGTTGCTGGGGAAAACAATTTAATGTTTCCTCAAAAAATTAAAAATAGACCCAGCAATTCCACTTTCTGGGTATATAACCCACAGTATTGAAAGCAGAGTCTTGAGACACTCGGACACGCGTGTTCACAGCAGCGTCATTCACAACAGCCAAGGTGTGGAAACAACCGCCAGTGCACATCGACGGACACGTGGATAATCGAAATGTGGCATGTGCATAGAGTCGATATAACTTCACCTTAAAAAGGAAGGAAATTCTGACGAATGCTGCAGCAGGAATGAACCCGGGGACATTACGCTGAGAGAAATGAGCCCGTCATAAAAGGATGGGCATCGCGGGATTCCGCCGCGGTGAGGCGCCCGGAGCAGCGGAGCTCGCAGAGCCAGAACACGGAGTGGGGGCGCCAGGCGCTGCGGGAGGCGGGGCCAGAAGCTAGTGTTTCTCGTGGGTATAGAAATCCCGTTTTGCCAAATGAAGAGTTCTGGAGATGAATGCTAGTTGTTGGTTTCACGATATGAATGTACTCAAACACACCAAACTTAAAAAAGATCGTGGGAGTAACTTTTATTTTATGTGCATGTTATCCCCTCCCCCCCAAATGAGGAAAAAGTCATCCGTCAGACGTGGAAAGGCACGTAGGTGCTGGTTGTCCTATGGGATTGTAGCGGGTCAGTGACCGAGTCAGTGAAGGCAGGAAACCGGAAAGGCCTAGGGCTGCTGACGGGGGGGGGGGGGGGGGGGCGGGGGGGGGGGGGGGGGGGGGGGGGCGGGGGGGGGGGGGGGGGGGGCGGGGGGGGGGCAGCTCGGTGGCCTGGGGCAGAGGCCTCCTCCGCCAACCCGGAGCCACGGGTCAGGCCCTCTCTACTGCAAAGGATCTCGGGAAGAGGATGTGGCCTCTGCGAATGCTCTCGGAAGGACAATCTCCGCTCTGGCCCCCAGGCCTTGGGATTCCTGGATCTGAAGAAAACACAGACACATCCCGCGCCCCTGCAGCGGGAAGGAACAATTATGGGAATTTTAATTTACCCATCAGTCACTGGGCACAGCTCAGGCCTCGGTTCCGGATGCACCTTGGTTCTGCATTTGGAAAGAGGTGGGGAGGGTCCCTGCCGCCTTTCAGGCCGTGGGGTCCAGCTGGCCGGCCTTCACCCTTCTTTGTAGGTGATGAAGCTTTGGAGATTTTACCTTGGGCAGCTGGTGGAGGCCGGATTTACTCCAGGTAGAATTAGGCGGGAATAGCCCAAAGCCCCGCCCACAGGGCGGGATCTGATTGGTGGAGTGTTGTGAGCGTGGCATCTCAGGCTGTATAAAGGCAGTGGCTGGAGGCTGGAGGTTATGCTGTAGGTAATCCCTGAGCTCAGGTGAGGCTTCTGGGGCGAGCGGGAAGGCTGGGCTGCCCGTGGGCTCCTACATGGAGGCTCCCCCGTTGACTACTGGGTGGTGGACTGCACTTTCTCCCGAGTCCTTCAGGCTTGAAATATTTGAGGTGGCCCCAAGGATTTGTATAATATCCCTTTTTCTGGGTCTCAATTTCCCTCCGGAAGTAAGGGGTTGGTGGTTCTATAAAGTCTGCCATCTTGGTGCGTGGAGAGGAGGTTGTGAAGAGTGGGGGTGGGGCAAGAGGAGCAATCAAACTCTTGGGTTTTAGGGGTCAGACGGGCTTTTAGGTGGCCACGAGTCTTCCTCACTTGCTTCTGTGTTTGCAAAATGGGTTATACCTAGCAACCAGGATAAAAAAGAGGATGCCATTAAGGCACTTAGCACAGCTCCAGGCACCTGGGGCGCCCTCAGTGGTGCTTGCCGCTGCTGTTCTTACTCCCAGGCCCAGGCTGGGGGGCAGGGTGGGCGTGGGAGCTGCTGCTGCTTTTCTGGCCTCCCCACCCTCCGGGCCTCCCAGGTTCCTTCTGTTCGAGCCCCCGAGTCTCCATCTCTATCCCTCCACTTTCCGGAGAGCCTCTCTCTGACCAGCCTCACCAACCCCTTTGACTTGTTGGGGGTGAGGGGACAGGTGCTAGGAAGTGGGGCTCCTCTCTCTCTACAGGACACCCACCCCCACCCCACCCCACCCGTCCCCACCCCCTATGAGATGAGTGCAGCCCAAGACCCTGCCCATGCGGTTGCCACCCAGGTGAGGCTGCGGGGCCGGAGCCATGGAGATGGGGGCAGCGGGGCTCTCTGTTCCCGCCAGCACCAGGAGCTTCGGGCCTTTCTCTGCCTTCTGGGTGAGCTGACTGGGGGCTGGCATGGGAGGGGGCTGTAAGGAGCAAGTTTGAAACCGACTCGAGAGGTGGGATCTCAAACTGCCCACGTGAGGGTCTGAAGTCTCTGTCCCTTCCCTTCTCAGGTGACCCTGGCTCGGCGGGTGTGGGGGCAGAGGGTTGTGTGAGAAAGTGGGCTCAGTGGGTGCCACTCTTGTCTTGTGGGAGGTGGGCGGTAGCCCCAGCCTCGCATTTCTCCTCTCCACCCGCAGAGCACAGCTTCCTTCAGGAATTCCTCTCCAGAGATCCCTGTTTCCAGATTTCAGATAAGGTGAGGGGACACAGTGTGGGCAGAAGCTGGGGCCTCCTGTGCTGCTGATTCATTGGGTCCCGTCGTCCGGTGGAGGGAGCACCTGCCTTTTCAACCCTTGTCTCTGCAGACCCCTCCTCATGTTTTACCCCAATTTCCCTAGCCCCCACCAGAACCTTCTTGGGAGCAAGTGGGCCTGGCCTAGTCCTGTCCCTCCCAGTGCCTAACGCTGACCTCCCCCCGCCCCCAACTCTGTGTCTGCAGTACCTCCTGGCCATGGTGCTGGTCTACTTCCGGCGCGCCAACCTGAAGCTCAGCGAGTACACCTGCAGCAACCTGTTCTTGGCGCTGTGAGTGTCCCCGGCGGGTGGCGGAGGCACTTGCTCTGAGTCGGAGGACAAGGCCGGGCAGATGTTTATTGCCTCTGCCCAACCCCCACCTCTGTGGCCAGGTTCCTTGCAAATGACATGGAGGAGGACCTGGAGGATGCCAAATGTGTGATTTTTCTATGGGCCCTGGGCAAAAAATGGCATAGTCAGGTGGCAGACTTCCTGCGTCAGAGGGACCAGCTGTGGGCAAGGATGGGCTTCCGGGCTGCCGTGAGCCGCCAGTGCTGTGAGGAGGTGAGGCCCGGATGGCGTCCTGGGGTGGGAAGAAGTGGCTGGCCCTCCCCCGCTATTTACTGTCACTCTCCGCCTGCCAGGTCATGGCCAAGGAGCCGTACCATTGGGCCTGGGCCCGGGAGCGGCGCCCCCACCACGGCGGGGCTCAGAGGAGCTGCCCACAGGCCCAGGCTCCCCTCCCGAGGGGCCCCGGCCTCTCACCACCCTACTGTCCCCTCTGTGGCGTGCCCTCTCTCTGTAGCCGCTGCTGCCACCAGCCCCGCCCCTTGCCTGTCTTACCCACGTGTCCTTCCCCCAACCCCGAGTGGTACTGCCCTCCTTCCCACGCTTGTCTCTCAGTGGCCGAAGACCCCTGGGGTGGGGGCTTCCTCACGGTCCTGCCCCCACAGCTGCATCTGGAGTCGGGCACCTACACGCTCCACAGTGAGTTGGGGACGGGAGACGGAGGGGCCTGGGCCTGGGAGCCCGGGAAGCAGGTGTGGGGCCTGACAGAATGAGAGGAAGGGACGCCAGCGCACCAGGACACCTGGCCTGGGGACCCGCAGGTCTGGGCACGAGTCCCAGCTCTGCCACCTCCAGGCGGTGCGAGCTTGGCAAGTTTCCTCTCTGAGTCTCTCCCTGTCCTTCTCCCCCCGGGTCCTCCCACAGCCTCCGTCAGTGCCCTCGGCGCTGACACCCGCAGGGTGAAGAGCAGCCCCCTCTGTGCCCGCTGACCCGACGCTGTGCGGGCCGTGGCCCCCTGGCCTCCCGCCCTGTGGGCCTCAGGCTGCCAGTGCTGCCCCCGCCCCTTCCGCCCCCTCCTCCCAATCTGCAGCTTGTACCCACTCTGATTCTGCACCCACCCCCACTCCCCCCGCAATAAACTCGTGTCCATAGGACACTAGCTGTGCTCAGGCCCTGGCCTAGCTCCTTGACCCAGGGTCGGGGGAGGGAAGGCACTGGGGTGGGGGAGTGGGGTGGGATGGGGGGCATCAGGTTTAGATGTCAGCGGTTGAAACCACGAACACGACAAGGTCTGTGGTAGCTCTTCTCCTTCGCGGTAGTGGCCAGTCATCCCTAGCCTCAGTTTCCCTTCTGTGACCCCACCCATGCATGATGAGATCTACACAGCATAGGTGGGACTGAACGAGATGAGGTCTGCGCAGCCCTTGGAGGAGGGCCTGGAGCCTAGTGGACCAAAAATACACTCAGATGGAAACCCGCTCCGCGCTAGAAATGCCTGGCAGCCAGGTCTGTTCAGGGAATGACGGGTTTTGCCCTGGGCTGCAGTCAAATACAATGTAATTATTATAGAACACCCCTTCCCCAAAAGGATACTTGTTAATGAAGGGGTAGGGAAGGCTTTCCAGAGGAGGGGGACTTTTTTTTTTTAATATTTTATTTATTTATTTTTAGAGAGGGAAGGGAGGAAGAGAGACAGAGAGAAACATCAATGTGCGGTTGCTGGGGGCCATGGCCTGCAACTCAAGCATGTGCCCTGACTGGGAATCGAACCTGCGACACTGGTTTGCCTCCCGCGCTCAATCCACTGAGCTCCGCCAGCCAGGGCTAGGAGGGGGGCTTTGAACTGAGCCTTTCACACTGTCGGGTTTGCCCATGAGGGTTGGCGGGTGGGGGTGTTTGTGAGGAAGGGTATTCTTAGCCTGGAGTCATGATTAAGTCTCAGTGTCTAGTGCCAGACATCTTAAATTCAAATTCCTGTGTGAACTTGAAATATTACTTAATCTCTTCCATTGCCTCATCTGTAAAATGGGTATTATGCTAAAATGGGCAGTGAATGAGTTAATCCTAGAAAAGTTTAGGACTGTCTCAAGAGTAGAGCTGGCCCTGGTGGGTGTGGCTCAGTGGATTGACTGCTGGCTTGCAAACGGAAAGGTTGTTGGTTCGATTCCCAGTTGGGGCACGTGCCTGGGTTGCGGGCCAGGTCCCTGGTTGGGGGCATGCGAGAGGCAACCAATCAATGTTTCCCTCACCCAATGACGTTTCTCTCCCTCTCTTCCACTCTCTCTGAAAAGAAATAAAATCTTAAAAAAAAAAAAAGAGCTGGAATGTTACAAGTGGAAGAGGAGGAAAATGCTGTGGACAGCAAGGCTGCAGCGCGGCCGTGTCTGGGGCTGGGCCAGAAGGGAGAGCAGGTCCCAGGTCCAGAGGGCATGGATGTGGACAAGAAAGCCTGGGGACTGTGGGCTTTATAAGCCAAGGCAAGGGCTACAAAGCTTTCATTTGTTTTTCAAATAGGCGATACATTCACATGTACATTTTGAATTTTGAACCAAGAGTCACCTCCTACTCCCGACTCTTAGCCACCTGGCTCCTGTCCCTGGAAGCAATGAAAGTCATAGTTTATGTCCTTCCAGAAAGGAATCAAACCTGCTTTACCAAATGCAGTGTGATAAATAATACATACATTCGGTCTTTGCCCCAGGTTCCTGGCACGGAGCTCCTTAAACCCCTAGAATTTCCTGAGTCATAGGAGTCAAGAGTCAGTCACTTTTGTACCACACCTGAGTTTATGCTAATGAGCCACTTAGGGTGGGGACTGGTCTCCGGAAAGATCAATCTAAAGGGTGGGAACTCTCAGCTGCCCCTCTCCACCCCTGGGCACGGGAGAAGGACCGGAGATTCAGAGTTCCTGGGCTGTGCTGGGAGGAGGGCTGACCTGGAGAGGGAGCGGAAGCTCCCACCGCCCAAAACCCCGCCCCACGCACCTCTCCTGTTTGGTGGCACCTGAGTTGTGTCCTTTCTAATAAACTGGGAATAGTGAAGTAAAGCACTTGCCTGAGTTCTGTGAATCTAGCACTAAATTATCAAGCCTGAGGACGGGGTCGTGGAACCCTCCAATTTGTAGTTGGCCAGACAGGAATGGGGGTCACCTGGACATCTCGTTGTGGCTGGAGTGGTGAGGGACTGAGCCCCTTGACCTACGGGGTCTGTGCTAACTCTGGGAATCAGTGTGGGAGCTGACTTGAATTCTAGGTGCCCAATGGGTGTTGGAGAGTTGGAGAATTGGTGTGGGGGGGAAACCACATGTATTTGATATCTGGGGAAAAAACATGTGTCTGCTGTGAAGTGGTATCAGGAAAAAGACATCACACCGAACACCTATATCTGTCCCACCCCCTTTTTAAATTCTTTTAAAAAGATTTTATTTATTTTCAGAGAGAAGGGAAGGGAGGAGAAAGAGGGAGAGAAACACCAGTGTGTGAGAGAGAGAGTCATCGATCACTTGCCTCTCTCACAGCCCCCACTGGGGATCTGGCCTGCAGCCCAGGAGCATGTCCTGACTGGGGATCCAACCCGCAACTCTTTGATTTGCAGGCCAGCACTCAACCCACTGAGCCACACCAGCCAGGGCAAAAAAGATAAAAAATATATATATCTGTGGGTTGAATTCCTAGAAGAATTGTTCAGCCAAAGGCCAAGTCAAAATTGTCATTTTGATGATTTTTGCTGAATGTTCTTCCATGAAGGTTATACCTGTACTGCCCCTGACCTGTGTAGAGCCTGGGAGGGCTGTTTGCCAGGACACTCACCCATAGGTGAGGACCTGATTAAAAAAAATTTTTTTAGCCCTGGCTGGCATGGCTCAGTGGATTGAGCGTGGGCTGCAAACCAAAGTGTCGCAGGTTCAATTCCCAGTCAGGGCACATGCCTGGGTTGCAGGCCATGACCCCCAGCAACCGCACATTGATGTTTCTCTCTCTCTTTCTCCCTCCCTTCCCTCTCTAAAAAATAAATAAAATCTTTAAAAAAATTTTTTTAGAGGGGAAGGGAGGAGGAAAGAGAAAGAGAGAAACATCCATCGGTTGCCTCTCATATATGTCCCAACTGGGGACTGAACCCCCAACCCAGGCATATGACCTGACCAGGAATCGAACCGGTGACCTTACCCTGTACAGGAAGACACCCCACCCACTGAGCCACATCCATCAGGGCAGGTACCCGATTTTAAATCTTGGCCTGATTTTTAGTCTTATTAAAAGCGGAAAACCGTCTCTTGGTGAAATTGAAATTTGTATTTCTTTTTCTTTCGAGAGAGCTTGAGCTTTGTCCCATACATTTAAGAGCTGTTTGTCTTTCCTGCGAACTGTCTCTGCCTTGGCCCACTGCTCTGCGATGCTGGGTTTCTGACTGACGTGTAAGGGCTTGAAGGGAACATGGGCCTTCAAGATGTAAACTGTTTGCTTCGGCTGATCGCTTCAGTTTGACTTCACCGTACGGATGTTTCAATACAGTGAAATCAGTTTTCGTGTGGCTTCTGGGTTTTGTGTCATAGTTAAGAAGACCTTTTCCAGCCCTGACCACTGCGGCTCAGTTGGTTGCTGGGTGGTTGATTCCCTCTCGGGGCACATGCCTGGGCCGTGGGTTCGGGCCCCGGTTGGGGTGCGTACGAGAGGCAACCAGTGGATATTTCTCTCACATCAATGTTTTTCTCCCTCCCTTGCCCTCTCTCTAAAAATAAGTAAATAAAATCTTAAAATAAAAAGAACTTTTCTATACTGAGACAACTAAAAAGCTTTTCCTTAGCGCCTAGCTGTATTTTTGTTTTCATTTTTATATTTAAATCTTGGGTTCATCTGTAATTTATTGAATACAAAATTTCTCCCATTTTCCTAATGGTTTTTGGTGAAGACCTCGTCTTTTATTAACGCATAGTTGACATGCAATGAACCACATGCTCTTGAAATGTCCACTTTTGTTTTGACATACAGAAATCTCCAAGAAATCATTACCATAATCAAGATTATGAACATGCCCAGCACCGCAATAAATGACCTTGAGCCTCTTGATAATCCCTCCCTCCTGCCCTTCCCCATCTGCCAGCGCCCTCAGGCAACCACTGATCTGCTTTCTGTCACTGAATGGTTCTGTCACTGAATGGGCATCCTTTTCCTAGATTTTCATGTATGTGGAAGTACACAGCACATACTCTTATCTGGCTTCTTATGCTCTATAAATTATTCTGAAATCTGGCTGGAGTAGCTTAGTGGATTGAGCACGGGCTGCGAACCAAAGTGTCGCAGGTTCGATTCCCAGTCAGGGTACATGCCTGGGTTGCAGGCCATGACCCCCAGCAACTGCACATTGATATTTCTCTTTCTCTCTCTCCCTCCCCTCTCTAAAAAATAAATATATAAAATCTTTAAAAAATTATTCTGAAACTCAGCTGTTACTGTTCCTTTTTATTGCTGAATAGAATTCTACATCATATGCATACCACAGTGAGTTTAACCACTCACTGGGTGTCGGTGGACATTTGGTTTGGGCAGTTCCAAGTACAACCACTAGGGACACTCACGCCCAGGTCGTCGTGTGGAATGTGCCTTCATTGCTCTGGGGGAGTTAGATGCCTGGGAGCGGAATGGCTGGGTCATGTGGTAAGCATGTGTTCGGTGTTTTTTCTCTTTTTTAAAGGCTGTAAAAAGTTATTTATACATTCTAAATACAAGCCTTCGTCAGATATAATTTTTACAATCATTTCCTCCTAGTTTGTGGCTTTTCATTTTCATAAGAGTACCTTTTAAAGGATCCACGTTTCATTTTGAAGTTCACTTTTTTCTTTTACTGTTTGTGTTTTATGTGTCTTCTTTGAGAAATCTGTGCCAAACCCAAGATGGTTAAGAGTTTTTCTCTGCTTTCTTCTAGAAGTTTTACAGTTTGGGGGTTGACATTTAGCTGCATAATCCAGTGTGAGTTCGACCTGGATGGGGTGTGTCCTAAACATTCATCAAGTCCACCTGTTTCTGTCCCGTGCCCATCACCTCCCTGGTTGGAGACGCCATTCTCTCTC